TTCGTCGTACTAGTACGTCTTACGCGTAGGGTTTTTTGACGTACTAGTACGCATAAATTCTAGCGGCCTCAAATCTAGTGGGAGAAAGCTGGTAGGCCTTCATATGAAAGAATGGGTCTATGTGGTCAGTGTGCACAGTCTAAAAAAAATCCTGCAGCACACAGTGCATAATGAGAAAAAAAAAACTTTGACCATTTTTTGGAATAAATCAGCGACTTTGCAGTGTATTTTCGTATGGTATTTATTGTTGTATTCTAGTTTTCTTGGTCTCATTTTATAGAATGGAAGACATATTACAGAAATTGAGATGATTTTGGCTAGTTTTACAATGAAAGGTGCCTTGAAATTGAGCTCAAAGTAGCAGAAATGTTCGATTTTTACCAAACTTCAAAAGTAAACAAATCGTGCCAAGCGTGCAATACACGTCAACTGGTGAGTCTAATGTTGTTTCACAAGTGCACCAATAATATTTATACCATTTTTTACACTAATGCAGTACTCTGCATAACAGTAAATCTTATATTTTTTGTGAGAATAAAAATTCAAAATGGAAAGCAAAAGAATATAAGAGGGGCCTTGAGACGTGACTAATGACTAGAGGAAATGTCATTTTAGTGCCAGGAATGTCTTTCTTGTTTATTCTGGACCCTATTCGGAAATTGGCATCTTTTGAAATTTGTGTGAAATTGGCAAAATTGCTAAATTCTGACCACTGTACTGGATAGTTGAATTTCATAAATGGGTGGTTTCTTGCACCCATTCGATAGACAAAATGGAGGTCTAGCGAAATATTCATGTTTTTTGTCGACTAGTACAGCGAAATTGGCCGAAAATGGGGCTCAAATTGGGCAAAATCGCCGATACGTAAACATCGCCGAGACCACTAACTTTGCGAGAGCATAATTTCGTAAGTTTTCTATCAAATTTCAAACTTTTGGTGTCTTTATGATCGGGAAAAGATTCTCTATCTTTTCATAAGAGAAAATAATTTTTTTTTTTTTTAAATTTGGCCGACCCTGAGAACGAGTTTCGGAGAGGGCCTGTCGACCCTCAAAGGGTTAATTGCTCTACCATATTGTATTACTACTATTACTTTTGTCACTACTACTACTACTACTACTACTACTACTACCACTACCACTAGTGAACATGTAAATGGTACCTCACTAGTACTGCACCTCACTCTGAGCCTTTATATACCCTCTGTGTCCATGTATTGTTTGTAATGGCTTGACAAAGCTCCTGGAGAGCGAAACGTTGCCACAATAAAATGTCACATTAGTTGCACTTGTGTCCTTTTACTTTACATATTGTCGGTAATTCTACCAACTTTATTACAGACTATAACATGTATGTACGTAGTACAATATTTTACGATGTTTTCATGTATTTTATAACTGTTCATGGTTCAACAGGTTAAGGAAGCAGTATTATATTATATTTCCCTACAATACATTGGGACACCAAGCATTTAGCGAGGTTCTTGATCCCCTAACCCTCGTGAATGTTGAGGGAGACCTGTAATTGTATTTCCATTATTTCTTATGGGAAATATTGCTTCGAATTTCAGACTTTTTGAATTTAGAACTAGCTCCTGGAACGGATTAAGTTCGATTTTTGTGGTTCCACTGTATCACAATTCATGAAATGTGACATAATAAACAATATTAATAACTTAGAAACATGATATATACTCTAGAATGAATAAAATATGTCATAATGTATGTGAGGATAAGTGATGAAGTGTTGTTGTTGGGTTTATAATGGCGACTGGTGATGGAGGCTTCTGTCACCACCACTATCCACAAACGTAATTTATAAATAAGAAATATTTACATTTTAATTTATAAATAAATATTTACATTTTAATTTATAAGTAAGAAATCATTTTAATATATAAATAAATAAGTAAGTTTATTCAGGTATACACAAATACAGTTACGTACATAGATTATCATACATAGCAGCATGTGTGTAAAGTACCTAGGATAACCCAAAGAAGCCAGAGTGACTTATGTATTTCCATTGGGGTCCTTTTATATTTACACTTACATTTACACTTTTATATTTACACTTACCTTGGAGGAGATGTTAGTTTAATTAGTTTGATGGAGGAGATGCTGGCAGAGATTTAGAGTGGTGGAAGATACCTACCAGGCCGGAGTATGTTCAGCAGCCCGATACACATACAACAACATTGGAGAGTTACTTTCATGTCATTTTTCTACCGCTTACTCACTTAACTTACTTGCTACACTGTTAATTCTACACTTTATCGCTGGCTGGCACTATAGCCTTTATCGATACCTGCTGCTTTAGTATCATACATATCGTAGAATCACTGAATCACTGCAGAAGGCACATTCACCCCTCTCTCTACCTCCTCCACTTTGGTACTTTGCTACGAGTTTTTTCTTGAATTTTATTGTGTTTCTTTCCTTCTTTATCACAGGGCTGGCACTAGAAACTTTCTTTGGACCCACGGTGGCTTATTTAGCAGTTACAAGCAATAAAATCAATGGAATAATACAAAATATATCACATGTATGTATGGAATCGTCCTTCCTGGCTTGTAAACAATGGCACATTACATTGTACATGGGCTCAGGTCTCGCAGACACATTCAGGACGAATGTCCTTAATTGAGTTTTTCATCGATGGCTGAGCCAATATTTTTGTGCAAAAATGCATCGGTATCCGATTTTATCGCTATCCGATGGCATCATTATCCGAGGGTTCACTGTACAAGTATATGCATGTGCATGCCTGTGTAGTATGACCTAAGTGTAAGTAGAAGTAGCAAGATATACCTGCTATCCAGTGTGTTTATGAAACAAAAAAGAACTTCAGCAATCCTGCCATCATGTAAAACAGTTAGAGGTTTCTGTTTCACACTCACGTGACAGGACAGTAGTGCCTCCCTGGGTGGTTGCTGTCTACCAACCTACTACTTAACCCTTTGTCTGTTGCAAAAAAAATTATTTTTTCTTATGAAATGATAGAGAATCTTTTCCCAATGGTAATGACATCAAAAGTACGAAATTTGGTCGAAAACTCACGGAATTACGCTCCCGCGAAGTTAGCGGTCTCGGCGACATATGCACATCGGCAATTTCGCCAACTTTGAGCCCTGTTTTTGGCCAATTCCGTTGTTCCAATTGACCAAACTCATAGCTATTTCTTTAGAACTCCATTTTTTCTATCAGTTGAGTACAAGAAACCGCCCATTTACCGATTTGAACTACCCAACAAAGTGGTCAGAAATTGGCAATTTGGCCAATTTCACGCAAATTAAAAAAGATGCCAATTTCAAAATAGGGTCCAGAATAAACAATGTAGACATTCTTGGCACTAAAATAACATATCCTCTGTGCATTAGTCACGTCTCTAGGCCTCTCTTATATTACTATTTCTTTCTATTTTGATTTTTTATTCATTCAAAAAAATGCAAAATTTACTGTTATGCAGACTACTGCATTATTGTAAAAATGGTATAAATAATATCAGTGCACTAGTGAAAGAATATTAGACTCCCCAGTTGACGTGTATTGGACGTGTGGTGTGATTTGCTTACTCCTGAACATTGGTAAAAATCGAACATTTCCGCTACTTTGAGCTCAGTTTCAAGGTTGTTTTCATCATGAAAGTAATGAAATTCTTCTCTATTTCTGTAATAGGTTTTTTATTTTATCACCTGAAACCATGAAAACGAGAATATAATGATAAATACTATACGAAAATACACCTCAAAGTCGGCGTTTTAATCCAAAAAAATTGTCAGTTTTTTTCCTCATTATGCACTGCATGCTGCAGGATTTTTTTATGTGGTGCACACTGACCACACAGACCCATACTCTCACATGTGGGCCTACCAGCTTTCTCCTGCTTGATTTGAAACCGCTAGTATTTACGCTCATAAATGCGTCGGAAACAGTGGCGCGTAAGATGTATATATACGACGCAGTCAAAGGGTTAAATATGGGGTTTGCTACTATCCACGGTTTTGGTATACATGGCAGGTACTTGTAGTGTATCCCCTGTGGATTTGGGAGTCCTACTGTATTTACAAGAACCTAAATGGTATAGCCTAGTAAACACCTTGGCTATATGGTTTGTTTGTTTTTTCATTTGCTTGTAAGCAGATTATGCACCGTGAACATTCTTCTCTCTTAATGAAAACCTTTCGGTGTTGGGGTCCATGTTTTCAGACTTTTTATAAGGACCTTGTTGAGGTCTGCAAAAGCTTCTGCTAAACCCTCACTGTGAATTTTCTCTGGGGTTCTTCTTTGTCTTCTCCTGCTGGGGCCATAATGAGTAAAACAACAGGAGATTAAATCAAGCACAAGGGAAAATGATGCTGTCATGAGATGTGGTAAATCCGAGATGTATGAGGCTGTTGCTGGCATAACACCACATACTGTTTTACAGTATGTGGTGTTATGCCAGCAACAGCTGGTTTTATAAATTTCAAGAGTACACACTAGAAGAACGATATAAAAGTACAGTATGGTAAGTACATAAGCCAATAACATAGTTGTTTATTATCATTATCAATTATTATGTGCTGTACATATGTGGTATATGACTGGCAGCACAGTAGGTTTGTTGACAATACCTTCATATATGCAGTCTGTCACTGACCAAACAATGGTGTTTTGTTAAGAATCTTAGTACGTATATTTTACACATCACTGTATTCAATTCAATTCAAACTTTATTCTCTATAAGTATTACAATGCTGAGTTTACAGAATTTGGTTATTGTGTGGTTTACATGTAGTAAAATAATAATTACAGAGTGTACCACTAGAACGCCTAGCATGGCTAGGCATTTTGGGAGTGTATATAATGTATGATTTACTTGGATGTATTATACTATGAATCAATATGCTCTACTGCAATAGAAAATGCAGCAACTTGTGACTTTTGATCTGTTTATTGTTATATGAAGATTTTTGCATTTTTGCCATTTGTTCTTAGTTGCCATAAATTTCCTTGCAGCAATTAAGTTCTGGCGAGCGTCTTGGTCTGCCCATTGTGCCAGTGAAGGAAGTCGAACAGCCGGAGAAGATATATGCCACTTTAAATGAGATTAGAGAAAAGCTGGGTGTCACAAAATTTAAAGGTAAATTTGACATTTCTTGCATGGCTGTTTAGATTGACACAGTGGGTATGTTAGCCTTTTTCCTTAATGTAATAAGCTTACTAAATAAAAGATAACCATTGTGGTTGGGTTTGTGCACTGCACATAACTATCTTAACGAAACCAACACTATGCTATAACAAACAAAAGAAACTCATGTATACACATTACACAGGTAACCCACACATAAGCTTATGACGACATTTTGATTTGACTTGGACCATTTACAAGTCACACTGACAGAAAAGATGAGGAAGCCAGTATATATAGGCGAGTGGGAAAAGGGACAGAAACAAGAGAGGAAGAAGAGGAAGTAGTGGTAGTGGTAAGTAGGTAGGTAGTGGAAGTAGTAGTAGAAAAAATAGTGGTAGTAGAAAGTAGGGAGAGTAGTTTAGTGGTAAGAGAAAAAAAAGGGAGGGTGAAGGGAGACAAAAGTAAAGGTAGTAGCAATAGTAGAGAAATGTAGTGGAGTAGACTAAGTAGAAGTAGAAGTGGAGTCAGTCTAAGGACAAGAAAAAGGAGCACTGCAGGAGAGCTGCAGAGGGGAGGGGGGGAGGACCAAATGCATGGGGGGGATGACTGATTAACAGAACACAACAGGCTGAAGAAGTGAAAACAAAGGAAGGAAAAGGAAAACCAATAGGGAAGGAGATGAAGGGATCAGGTTAAGTCACAAGTGTTCTGAAGTTAGGAGCATTTGACACTGATAAAGGAAGGCATTTACAGAGACAAAGCCATGACTAAGATTCATACAAGAAAACTTGTGTATAATGGATGCCTTAACAAGACAGTGACTGTGAAAGCTAGAAGTACGATAGACAGTTTTAGCAGAAGAGCAGTCAGTAGGATAACTGTGAAATCATAGAGCCAGTTAGAAACTACTTAAGAAATTCCAGTTAACCCAAGATTGCTGAATCAGTTTAAAATATTAATACATACTTAAATCTGTACTATTTTTTACCTCTCTTTTTGTAATAATGAATACTTAAAACTGTACCTCTAAATACCTATGTCTTGTCTTAAGTAGTCAAGATTAGTCTACTTGAAATGCATCGCATGTTAGTGGCTTTCTTTGTGTTTAACAATATTTTATTACATGTAAACCGTATTTTTTATACTGCGCTAAGAAATAAAATTTTGTTTTTGTTTATTATTTGTTTATTGGAAAATAGTTCCGGAAATTCAGTTGGTTATTTTTAGGTATCAACAAAGGGAACTAAAATTGGTTGTCAGAATTTATATTTTTTTCTTCCTCCAGCTTATTGTTGGTCATTCACTGATAACTTGAGAATGCTTTATTCAATTGGCTTCAAATTTTGAGTTCTTATGTATGTTAATTGGGACCAGATTCATGGAACAGTCGACATGTGCAGATGCCTTATGAGCAGAGAGTTAGTGAGCACATTCCCAGTGAGCACATTCCCAGCATCCTGGAGTGGCTGCGGTAACTCCAAAAATCCTGACTGCTGGAGCTTCAAAAATTCGAGAAAGTTTCCTCTTACTTCAGCAGTGTGAATAAATGGTTTAAAAAACTGATAAATGAGACACTTTTCGAACATTTGGACACTTTTAAATGCTTTGCCACACAGTAGCATCATCAGTCCAGTGCAGAAAAGGTGAAATAAGAGGAGTAGTTGTTTAAGGTAATCAGTCTGTCAGCCTTGAGTCGACGTGTTCAACCTTCTCACTCTTGTGAAGGTTGATGCAACCACCCAGGGAGGTACTACTGCCAGTAGTACCTCCCTGGGTGGTTGCTGTCTACCAGCCTACTACCACAAGACAGTAGTACCTCCCTGGGTGATTGCTGTCTACCAGCTTACTACCTAGTGTGAAATTTTTATACTTGATTTACCCCTTAACTGTTCAAATGTAGATCTCTTTCTTACTGCTAGCGCTCCAAATGTAGATCAACATTTTATTTTCCTGCCTCCAAATTTGGCACAACTGGTCTGAGATGCCCGGTCAGTATAGAATGGGTCTTAACACTCGGTGTGCATAGTATTAAAAATATACGGGACCACTTAGTACCTTGTGGGAGTGACAGTTCAATTGAGCACCACCTAGAGCAAATACTGTGACAAACACCAGAGATCCACTGCTGTCATGTTGTATTAACACTCCCCATTTAATAGGAAAGTGTTGTTGACCCAGAGTTTAGTGGCTTTGAGATGGATGTGGCTATAATTGGTTGAAGAAATATAAAAAACCTCAATAATAACCTGTGTGCAACTTTTGTGCAACACCCTTTCATTTTTAATGCCACTGATAGTGTCATCCTGCCAGAATGTCCTGTAACCTATGCCCTAAGTAAAGAGAAACTATTCTGGAACATGTGTAATTCACATTCCGCAGGCTGGCCGGCTGGCTGAGGCTGGCTGGCTGGGTGAGGCTGGCTGGCTGGCTGAGGTTGGCTGGCTGGCTGAGGTTGGCTGGGTATCTGAGGCTGGCTGGGTGGCTGAGGTTGGGTGGCTGGCTGGCTGAGGCTGGCTGGCTTGCTCTGTCTGTCTATATCTCTATCTCTGTCTATATCTCTTTCTATCTCTGTCTCTCTGTCTGCCTCTATCTCTCTCTATCTCTATCTCTGTCTCTCTCTATCTCTGTATCTGTGTCTGTTTGTATGTCTCTCTCTCACATGTACACATATACACATAATTTTGATGTTAATTTTAAGCCTGCCCATAATGCTCTGCATACAAGGGGCTTTTGGCAGGTACACCCAACTACTATAATTCCTTGTACAACTATGTATCATGTCCAAATAAACTATATGAATATGAAATATAGTTATTATACAAAGTGTAAATTACCTAGGATAACCCAAAAATTGTAGATCTTTCTTTTCTGCAATGCACCAGCCGTATCCCACCGAGGCGGGGTGGCCCAAAAGAAAAAAATGAAAGTTTCTTCTTTTACATTTAGTAATATATACAGGAGAAGGGGTTACTAGCCCCTTGCTTCTAGCATTTTAGTTGCCTCGTACAACACGCATGGCTTACGGAGGAAGAATTCTGTTCCACTTCCCCATGGAGATAAATGGAAATAAACAAGAACAAGAACTAGTAAAAAAAATAGAAAACCCTGAAGGGTATGTATATATATGCTTGTATAGGCATGTGTATTGTGGCCTTAATGTAAAATCTTGTTTGTTTATGAGACAGAAAGAAAGACACTAGCAATCATGTAAAACAATTACAGGCTTTCGTTTTACACTCACTTGGCAGGACAGTAGTACCTCCCTGGGCGGTTGCTGTCTTGTAGATATAAGACATAATATGCATGACTGGCAAGTAATATGCATTTTCACCTCATCAGGAATCAGACGTGACGACTCTGCATCGTGTGTAATGCCTATTGGTTTACGAGCCGCTCTCTGAGACAGAGAGAGAAGCAGATGGGAAGACACACACACACACAAGCAGACAGAAACACACACATACAGGCATACAGAAAGACCGAGACACACAGGCAGACAGAAAGACCGAGACACATAGGCAGACAGAAGGACCGAGACACACACAGGCAGACAGAAAGACTGAGACACACACAGGCAGACAGAAAGACAGACACACACAGGCAGACAGAAAGACAAACACACACAGGCAGACAGAAAGATAAGGAGAGCTAGACAGATAAATAGACAGACATACATACATGTTTAACTTTCGTTTTTCCTTTTGGGCCACCACACCTCGGTGGGATATGGCTGGTACGTTGAAAGAAGAAGAAGAAAGACATAAATATTTGTGTGTAACAGTGTTAACCCTTTGACTGTCGCGGCCGTATATATACGTCTTACGAGGTACCGTGTTTGACGTATATATACTCATAAATTCTAGCGGCTTCATATCAAGCAGGAGAAAGCTGGTAGGCCCACATGTGAGAGAATGGGTCTGTGTGGTTAGTGTGCACCATATAAAAAAAAATCCTGGAACACGCAGTGCATAATGAGAAAAAAAAACCTGACCGTTTTTTTAATTAAAATGCCGACTTGTGGTCTATTTTCGTATAGTATTTATGGTTGTATTCTCGTTTTCTTGGTCTCATTTGATAGAATGGAAAACATATTATAGAAATAGAGGTGATTTTGATTGATTTTACTAAAAAAAGAACCTAGAAATGGAGCTCAAAGTAGGGGAAATGTTTGATTTTTGCCAATGTTCAAAAGTAAACAAATGATGTCATTGTCCAATAAATGTCCAACTAGCCATTCTAATATGCAGTCATGAATGGGTTGATGTTATTTATACAATTATTACAGTATTGCAGTAGTCTGCATAATAGTAAGTCTTCTATTTTTTGTTTGAATAAAAATTCAAAATGGAAAGCAAGAGTAATATCAGAGGGGCCTGGAGACATGACTGATGAACAAAGAAAATGTTATTTTAGAACCAGGAATGTCTGCATTGTTCATTCTGGACCTTATTTTGAAATTGTCATATTTTTATTTTTCGTGAAATTGGCCAAATTGCAAATTTCTGACCACATTATTAGGTAGTTGAAATCGGTAAATGGGCAGTTTCCTGTACTCAATCCATAGAAAAAATGGAGTTCTAAAGAAATAGCTATGAGTTTGGGCGACTGGAACAACAGAATTAGCCGAAAATAGGGCTGAAAGTGGGCGAAATCGCCGATTTGTAAATAACGCCGAGGTCGCTAACTTCGTGAGAGCATAATTCCGTCAGTTTTCCATCAAATTTCGTGTTTTTTGGTGTCATTACAATCGGGAAAAGATTCTCTATCATTTCACAAGAATTTTTTTTTTTTTTTTTTTTTTTAAATTTGCGACACCAGGAGACATCTCAGGATTGGGTGTTGCGACAGTCCAGAGTTGCGACAGTCCAGAGTTTCCTGGAACAGTGCACATTCATCAAGCGTCACTCCACTGCTTCACTGTCAACACTTTAGTGACACTCATCGTAACACCATGCTTGAAGGAGTTTCATATATACTCCAGCACGTCTAAAACATTGCTGAGACCTTTA